CGTACGTACGTACGTACGTATGTTGAATCGATCCGGATTACGATCTCAAGAATTAATAATCCAATTTAACTATAATTGGAATATTTCTATAACCGTGTCGTGTCAGTAAAGCGCCATAATGATCTACGACAACGACAAGCCGCTCTGATATTCCACTTTAGAAATACTGACAAATAAAGATAATAATATTCTTTCTATTGCGTATTAAATATTATCCGGCAAATTCATTTCATGTTATTTTTTCATGTCGTAATCATGTTTATCCTAGTTAAGATAACCAATGACGAATCATGTTTACGTAAGATGTGTTGATAAGTTTGCCCAATTAGACAAATTTTGTGAATATTTTATACATGCGTATACAAAACTACATTACCGTTACTTTTTCGGTGATCTTTTTTTTATCTTCTTTTCATTTGGTTAACGAGAGAAATAATGATGAAAAATAATATTTATACTGGGAGTTATTAATATCCACTCTTGTTGTTATAATATATATTTTTACTATCAAAATTTAGGATTGGGCATTAAATACCCAAGTATAATTTAATTTTATTCAACAATTAAAAAAACTCATTTAATAATCAAAAAAAAATTATAATTATAAATTTAATTGGATTCCTTTAAATCTAATTACTACGGACACTCTCCCTAAAAAAAAAGAAAATAATTATTAGACCATAAAAAGCAATTGAATTTATTATTTGAAATATATAATTTAAATAATAAAATTACGTCTACTTTTAGACACTAATAAATTAAAGATTTTGTAAAAAAAAAAAAAAAAAAAAAAAAAATAGATTATTAGATTATATTATTAGATTATAAAACCACAAACATATATAATTTAAATTTAAGAACTTACTATCTAATAAATAAACAAAAAAATTTGTATGTTATCAGATTATTAGATTATGAATCCACAATTAAAAAATACAATAGATACTTACGCCCTAATAAATTAATATATTAGGTTATAAACACAGTCAATATAGTAAAATTCAGTCTATAATTATTAATTTCATACTTACATTCTAATAAAAATGATATATTGTTAGATTATAAAAGATAAATGAAACCATAAATTAAGTTTATACTTACTTGCTAATAAAAATATGCAAAAACGATATATTGTTAGATTATAAAAGATAAATAAAATCATAAACAAAGTTTATACTTACACACTAAGAATTAACAAAAGAATATGTTATTAAATTACAATATAATTAAAATATGATTTAATTCTAAATAATATTGATTTTACTTACGCACTAATAGATTGATAAAGAAATTGCAAAAATATACATTATTAAATTATAAAATATCAATAAAACATAATTTAACAATAAATTTTATATATTTACTCTAAAGAAATTTGTCAATAAAGAAATTTGTTAAAAAATCATATTAGATATAAAATATAATTAAACACAATTTAAAGTTAACACATATTTACAAGCTAATAATCAATGAAGAATTTGTAAAAAAAAATTAAAATATAATATAATTTAAATTAAGCTAATTAAATTTATACTTACACTCTATTAAATAAAGAAATGCAATTTAAAGCAAAAAGTATAAATTTAAACAAATTTTTAAAATGAGTTAAAACAATGCAATTTAGATTTATAAAGTTAAGACAAAATAAAATGCTTATACTCACGGTTTGCTAAATAAATAAATTTTATAAATAAATTAAAGAAATGCAATTAAATTAATTAAAAGTCGAAATATTATAAATTTAAGAATAAGTAAAAGGCAATTTCTATTTGTACACGGGTGTATATACACGGATAATATAGAATACAACCGATATCTCAAAATTTTGATTATGAAATCACCTTTGGCTTCTAATAAAAAAAATTCTTTGCGAAATTTTGGTATAAACTATACCTCGCCCCAATCCCAAACCAACCCTTACCCTAACCGTAAGCAAGGATTCAATTTTTCGTTCGTAAAATTTGCATGTTACACAATTTGCAAACTACGATTAATACCCGTGTATATACACCAGTGTAAATTAAGAAATTTTCTAAGTAAAAACATGTTTGCACTCACGGCGGTCTATTAAATAAATAAATTTTTGTAAATAAATTAAAGAAATATAATTTAAAGCAAATGCTACAAATTTAAAAATCAATAAAAATATATTTATACTTCTTTCTATTAAATAAAAAAATTAAATGAATTAAACAATACAATTTAAAAAAATTTAAACATAAACAAAAATATATTTAACTTACACACTATTGAATAAATAAATAAATTTATAAAATAAATTCAAGAAATACAATTTAAAATAAAAAAACTATAAATTAAAAATAAATAAAAAGTATATTTATACTCACATTCTATAAAGTAAATAAATTTTGTAAAATAATTTAAAAATACAATTTAAAATAAAGATTTTAAATTAAAAATAAATAAAAAATATATTTATACTCACATTCTGTTAATTAAATAATTTTGTAAAATAAATTAAAAATAATACAATTTAAAATAAACTGTTATAAATTAAAAATAAATAAAACATATTATACTCACACACTATTTAATAAATAAATTTTGTAAAATAATTAAAGAAATGTAACTAAAATAAAAGGCTATAAATTAAAATAATAACAAGATATTTATACTCACGGTGTGCTAAATAAATAAATTTATAAAATAAGTTAAAGAAATACGATTAAAATAATTAAAAGATATAAATTTAAAAATAAATAAAGAACTTGTTTATACTCACGGTCTATTAAATAAATAAATTTTATAAAATTAATTAAAAAAATACAATTTAAAATAGGATTAATATATTTATAGCCATGGCTATTGTAGCCGTATTCAATAAAGCTAATCAACTTTAGAGATCAGATGTATTGCAAAATCCAAGTAAAAACTTTTTTATAAAACCGTTTTTATATTTTAACAAATAATTCCTTGCAAAATTTTGGTATAAACTATTGTTTGCCCAATTCTAATCTTATACTATAATCTTAATCTGGAGTTTTATTTTTATAAAAAAGTTGTTTTTATAGTTATATTGTACCTGATTTTAGTTATGGTTACAGTAGTTTATAGCTACAAATATACCAATTTTTTAAATAAAAAGCTACAATTTTAAAACATATTTATACTTACGTTCTATTAAATAAATAATTTTTGAAAATAAATTAAAACCAATATAATTTAAAGTAAAAAAGTTATAAATTTAATAATAAATAAAAAATATATTTATACTCACGGTCTATTAAACAAATAAATTTTTATAAACGAATTAAAAAATATAGTTTAAAAACCTATAATTTTAAAAATAAATAAAATATCTTCATACTTCTTTCTATTAAATAAAAAAATTAAATGAATTAAAACAATACAATCTAAAGAAATTTAAACATAAACAAAAATATATTTAACTTACACACTATTGAATAAATAAATAAATTTTGTAAAAAAAAAATAATTTAAAATAAATAACTATAAATTAAAAATAAATAAAAACTATATTTATACTTACATGCTATTAAATAAATAAATTTTATAAAATAAAAAATATAATTTAAAATAAAAGCTATAAATTAAAAATAATAAAAAATTTATTTTTACTTACACACTATTAAATAAATAAATTTTGTAAAATAAATTAAAGAAATGCAATTTAAAATAAAAAGCTATAAAATTAAAATAAATAAACAAAATATTTATACTTACGGCTTACTAAATAAATAAATTTTATAAAATAAATTAAAGAAAAATATTATAAATTTAAAAATAAATAAAAATATGGTTATACTCACGGTCTATTAAATAAATAAATATTGTAAAATAAATTAAAAACAATACAATTTAAAATAAACAAACTATAAATTAAAAATAAATAAAGCTATATTTATACTTTTTTCTATTAAATAAAAAATTTTAAAATAAATTAAAAACAATACAAATTAAAGTAAAAAAGTTATAAATTTTATAAATAAAAAATATGTTTATAAAATAAAAGCTATTAAATAAAAAATATATTTATACTCACTTTCTATTAAATAAAAAAATTTAAACAAATTAAAATAATATAATTTGAAATAAATTTAAAAATAAGTAAAAAATTTAAAATAAATTAAAAGCAATACAAGTTAAAATAGAAAGTTATAAATTTATAAATAAAAAATATATTTATAAAATAAAAGCTATAAATTAAAAATATATTTATACTCACTTTCTATTAAATAAAAAAATTTAAATAAATTAAAAGAATGTAATTTAAAATAAATTTAAAAATTTTGTAAAATAAATTAAAAAATACAATTAAAAATAAAACAGTAATTATAAAATGCACCATAGGCGTTGTTGGTGTTAATGTGTTTTTGGCTAAAATTTAGAGTTAGGGTGCAACTTTGGAGTAAGATAGGGGTTAGATATAAAGATCCAAATTTTAGTCAGAATAAGGTTTTTGGGGTTCTGAATATTTTTATTTAATACCCCAGAGATGTGTTAGCTAGTACATTTTTGAGAGATAGCAACTATGGTGTTCAACACCTATGGTACATTTTAGTAAACCCGAAATAAAAAGCTATAAATTAAAAATAAAAAAAGCATGTTTATACTTACACACTATTAAATAAATAAATTTGTAAAATAAATCAAAAAATGCAATTTAAAATAAAAAACTATAAATAAATATAAATCAAACATATATTTATACTTACATACTATTGAATAAATAAATTTTGTAAAATAAATTAAAGAAATACAATTTAAAATAAAGGGCTATAAATTAAAAATAAATAAAAAATATATATTTATACTCACATTCTATTGGATAAATAAATTTTGTAAAATTAATTAAAAGGGATGCAATTTCATAAATCATAAAGTAATTTGTAAAAAAAAATTAGATTATAAAATATAATTTAACGTTAAACCATTTACATTCTAATAAATCAACAAGAAATTTGTAAAAAAAAGTTAGTGTTCAAATATAATCAAAATATAAAATAATTTAAATTAAGCTAATTAAGTTCATACTCACGGTTCACTAAATAAACAAATTTTGTAAAATAAATTAAGGGAATGTAATTGTTCAAATATAATCAAAATATAAAATAATTTAAATTAATCTAATTAAGTTTATACTCACGTTTCACTAAATAAACAAATTTTGAAAATAAATTAAGAGAATGTAATTTAAAGTAAATAAAAACGTATATACCTTCTAGCGTTTAAACTAAGCAATTGAAAATGTATATTATTATGTTATATATAGCAAAAACAAAAATGATTTATTGTTTTTAATATCAATATAGACATACTCTAATAATCAAAGAAAGTTTCAGGTTAATGAATATCGAAATGAATAAGAACCATTTCAATTAAATGTAAGGCTATCCAATATGGGTTCCTCAACACTCATTTTACCTATAGCCATTTAACTGATATCACATAGGGTTAGGGTTAGCATTTTATTAGGATATATATTAATAACAAATTATCACCCATGTGATGTCGATTAAATGGCTGTCGGCAAATGTGGTGAATCCATAAAATATACCATGATGTTTTTCTTTGAGTTCAGAAATAGGTGCGGCAATAGTCAAGTAACTGGTTGAAATAAGAAGCAAAGCAATGAAATAGACTTTCAATAACATTTTTAATAAAGCTTTAGCAAGCTTGGTAATACTTTATCGCGTTGAAAAAAAAGTTGTGTATTTATACCTTTGCAAAAAACAACATTTAATTAGTCAAATATAGTACTGTTATCTTGGATTACTATTTACCACTTAAATTTTTTAAAATGTTTAATATACACCCTGCGTATTGCTATGATCATGGTAACTACAATAAGAAATAATGAACAGTCTGTGAACTTTTTTATGTAAATAACGCGATAATTTCTTGTATCAAATGAGTAAAAAATTTTTAAATATTTCCCTCAAAATTTAAAAACATCAAGGGGATTGATTATTATTAATCTATTTGCAGTATGAATTGTTTAACTTTAATCATTTTTAATTATTTAATTAAAGTATTTATTAATGTTAAAAATTAAATATTTATTAACGTTAAATATTGTTAATTGCGTATAACAAGCTTAATCACAAATTATATTATTCAATTAATACCTTACGTATTTTCATTATATTATATTTGAATGCATTTAGGTTTAATTTAAAATTAAAGCTTACAAATTTTTATTTTTATATTGATATATTAGAGTAGTAAGTAAAATACGCGCCTCAAATCTTAAAGTTGATAAGTTAACATTATTATTGCGATTACATATGAGAAATAAAGTTCGCTTGTATATAGAATTCTATCATACATATAAGTCACATATCATTCAAATACATAGCATTCACTCTTATAGATTATAGAATTTATATTCGTATCCTTTTTATCTGTAGTATCACTATTTTCGAAATGGTTTGAAATGGATAGCAAAAATTTAATTTATTCGATTTTTATAGTGGTATTGTTAAAGATTAATACCCACTAGTCGATGTTACCAGTGGGTATTACAAAAATTTTTGTGAATGCCACGAATATTCCTGAAAGTACACATTATAACTAGAGATGCGGTAGAAGCTGTTCTGGCTTATGTCGTAGGTAATTACGGTGTAAGCCGTAATAGTTTCTACGTACCATGTTTCTAGTAATACCTATCAGTTTGTATCTAGATACATAGGTACATACATATATTTTACACTTTTAATTATTTTGATGACTTTTTTTTGTTATGCGATTCTGTCTAATAACGATAATTAAAAGCATCTATTAAATGCTTTGATAATTTGCAGTTTTTTTTATGTTAATCTTGATATTTTTGTATTAAAAACAAATTCATGACTTAAGTTTCGATCATATAATTTACCATTCGAGAAATATGAATTACGTATGTGTTTGCTGAATTTATTTCAACCATTATAAAACGGATTCTCGACCTATACTTTGAAAATGATAAATTTATTTCATCCATTACAGTATTGCAGTATCAAAATCTCCAATAAAAAGTCTTTGAATTAATTAGAAAATTCGGTAAATGTCCAGCTTGTGAAGAACTAACTAAAGAGAATTAAAAGAGGCCAGCTTATGAGTGTTCACTTTGCTTAAAGGACAAAATATACCGCCACCTATTGGACCGTACAAAATTATATTGTAGAGTGAAGATAACCGGAAATGTTTTCGTCTAAAACTGCTTTATTATGTTAGACCTAAAATTTGAATAGGTACAAGATCTTTAGTAGTAAAAGATCACAGGAAGAAATTCGTTTGATTGACTAGTGTAAATAGATTATCCAGTTAACTTACTATACATACTTTTAAAGTACTTTTTAAGAACGCAACGTAAAGTCACAGCAGACTCTTAAACAAAATATTAAAATCGAACTTCCGATGATCTTTAGCCAATATCATAAAATGAGGTAACTGCCTTATTTTTTTTTTTTTAATGTTAAGGTGAGGGGCAACTGCCTTATTATGTTATATATATTTAAATAAACTTTTATTACGAAATAACGTTATTTCGAATAATGGCCAAATTTAAACTTCATTTAGGTCAAAATTCGAAAATACAATCTAACCAAAAAAAAACTTATAAACACAGGTAGAACAATAAACTTTTTTCAACAGATATTCTTTAAAAAAATCTTGGTGTGATATGCAACCTTTTTAAATATCTTCTAGATATTTTCCAATTTTTTATATTACATGTGAAAGAGATGCGGAAAGAATTTCAATAATAAGAAAATATTTGGAAAAGTTGCATATCGCACCAAATATTTTTGAAAGAATACTTGTGAAAAAGATTTATTGTTCTACCTGTGAAAGTACCCGTAGGTATCCTGATCGATGAAGGGTATCTTGTATGGGGTACTTTGTACGGTCTTATATATATAATGCAGAAATCAATATATGGTAATATTAAAAATGCCTTGCAAAGTACCCGGCTATTATCCTCGGTTAAAAAAAAATATGCTATATAAAATGCCTGGGTATTTTGAGTGGGGGTTAGTGATTTGAACCGTCTAAAAAACCTCCACCCGGGTCACCCCACGGGTGAGCCATACGTCACCTGGGTGTAAACCCGGGTCAAATAGAAAATTTCCCACACCGGATCACCCGACGGGCAGATCATATATCATCTATGTGAAATGGATAGATATTCTATTCCGAAATTTCATGACAACATTTCTCATCTTTTATGTTCGCTGATCGTCGACCATTCCGAAACTTCCTAATAGTAGACATACACAAATCCACGGGTCACCCATAGGTCAGTCAACGGGTGACCCACCCGGGTGACAATATCTCAACCGGATCGCCCACTCACCCACGGGCGACCCAGGTGATACCCACCCGGGTCATGTCAGTAGTCAACCAAAAGGAAGGGTTCAGAGATAAGCCAAGGACTACTGAGATAGGTTGCTCTTGAGTGTAAACTAGATAAGTTTCTGTTCCGGTGAAAACATTGTAGCTATAGATAGAAATATGTAATTTTATTAGCTATTTCTAAATAAACAGAGACAAGATTGCTATATTAAATAAAAAAATAAATTGAGTAGTAAGGGTTCTGATATTTATTACCTAATATTTATTTACTATAGAGCTTTGCTCTCTCCCCTAGGTAATATTTTTATTAGCCAATTAAATTTTAGTATTATATTAAAGTAAGGTTTGGCTTTACCCTACCCTCTAAAATATTATCTAATAAATGTTAGCATCCTAATTAAAATTAGTTGAAGATAGTAATTTAGATAGATGAATTTGCTATTAAAATTAGTATAGATCTTTAAAAATAAAAAACAAATAGTTATATATTTAAAATCTATATATATAACAATTAAATAAAAAAAGTAACTCGAAATTTGATATATATATATAGTCAAATAAAAGAAACAAATATTCAAATATAATTAAGATTAACTAAAGACAGTAATTTAAATATATATAATTTTACTATTAAAACAAAGTATTGGATAAGATGTTTTTAGAGTTAGATTAGAGATCTACTAAAGCAGCTTCTAGAATACAGATAAGTAAATATAAAAAAATATTTATATTATAATATAGTCAAATATTATTAGTATATTTTTATATTTTATTAATTAAATATTATTAGTATATTTTTATATTTTTATTAGTTGATTTTTATTAATCAAATTTTATTAGCTATTTTTTTTATGAAATTTACTATCTTTATTATAAGATATAATACCTGGTATAATATTTATATAGAGTACTATATATATTAAGATTAGAATTAAATTTAGAGTTATATGCAAAATTAGATGCTAAACAATTTTATTTACTATAAGATATCTATATATGGTTATTTTAATAAAATTTGGAGATATTAAAGATTTTTAATTTTTTCTTATATCAAGTATTATATCTACTAGGTACAAATAGGTTTTACCACAAAATTCTGACAACCAAAATCTCGAAAACTATAATTCCAATATGACAATTAGTATTTAGCAATTAGTAATTACATTAACAATTATTGTTAAACTTTAAATTTTAATTATCACATCAGATAATGCCAATATTATAGCCTGTCAAGATTTTGAATATCAGGATTTTGTGGTAAAACCTACAAATAGTAATTCTCTTTTTTTATATATTTATTATATTTTCTCTTAAATTTTATTATATATTTTATATTATTATTATATATTTTATAGTTTTTAGTTTATTTATATAGTTTATAACATGTTTTATTTATTTTAGTTATTTAAATAATAGTTTATTATTAACTTTATTAGGATAGTTTTCACAAAATTCTATTTAAAACAATAGTTATTTAATTATTTAAATTATAGGTTTGTTTAATATAAACTGAACTTAGACTAAGATATACAAGTACAAATAGTATCTCAAGATAACCCAAAAACAATATAATAATAATATTAAAAATAAACAAAGCCAAATAAACCAAAATTAGCAAAAGTATCCTTACTATATAGATATAAAGATACAAAAAAATTATACTTTTTGTTAGACTATTTGTAAGAAATACTAGCTTTGTATTACTAGTACAAAGAAGTTATATAAACAATAGTAATTGGTTATAAGCTATTTGTAAAAAATACTGGCTTTGTATTATAGATACAAAAAAGTTATATAAATGATGATTAACTAATTAACAAGAAGGTTACTATAATTGTTAGCTCATTATATAATAGATTTAATTTGTTTAATTTATAAGAAGCTTTAAAATTTTATTTTTTTATAACTAGTAATACAGTTGACCCTCGTTAGTATCAACCTATTTGGATCACCTTTATAATCATGTTGATAGTGATATTAACGAAAGTTTATATTAAAGTTGATATATATGAGGGAATTTTGATATGTAAAAATTTCTAAAAATTTGTTTTGCGGCTTAGGTTGATATTAACGCAGGTTGATATTAACGAGAGTCAACTGTATCTATATTATTTTATTGTTTTTTCAGATACAATGTATATGAAAAGAATTAAAAATTTTAATAGACAATAACCTAATTTAATAAGGGTTTTTTAAAATAGATATATCAAGAAAAAATATATAATATTATTTTTGTAAAGATTTAAGAATAATGAACCTCTAAAATAGAAACTATATACTATATCTAACATTAATAAATTAAAAGAAACCTTGTATTTAA